AGACTTGTGTCCTAAGACCATTCTTCTGATATACATCTCATTCCGAACGGCCACGGCCACTAAGTATCCTCCCCTTGTAAGATAAGTTATAGCGAAGGTTCTGCTCAGATTAATGGTTGATTTTACAAGAAAAATTTGCTACACTCGTGCTTCAAATTGACAGGCAAGGTTTTAATTAAAGCTACTAATCTACACTTTTTTTAGTAATGTTAATCTTAAATTTCCTCATACTACTCCTCGTCGGCTTCTCTGCTGCTTTCCGGAAACAAGGAGCGGCTGTGAAGGGCAAACTGTTCTGTGGAGATAAAGCTTTGAAAAATGCAAAAGTCAAACTTTACGATTTGGATAGAAGTAAGTCGAGAACTGATTGAAATACACAACACAAGATTCACTTTTTTAGCTCGTATATATTCTTTTTATTTGACAAATAGATTGAGCTTTTGAATTTTGATTCTCTCCACATTTTCAATTTTTTAAAATCTTATATATTTTATATTTGTTTTTTCATAATTTTTCGTTAAGGAAACAAATTAACCTTGGCTCCTTTTGTCTTTCTGCGAGTAGGGCCATTTTCCCTTTTTCCTTTAAAAAGAACACTTCCTTTAGTTTTTCTTTCATATTTAATTATTTCCTTATTCAATTACATTTACCTCCAAAAAAACCCTTTAAAACTTTTCATGGTCAAATACAGTTGTATCTGAACAGAGAAAAATTTAGATCCTGGAGATCCTGATGATCTATTAGACGAAAAGTACACTGATAAGAATGGCGAGTTTGCTGTCACCGGAACTACCAGGGAGTTGACTGATATCGAACCAGTGCTCTACATATATCATGATTGTGATGATGGTATACGGGTTAGTTCACTTTCGGATTATGAGTGGTAGAAACAAATTTCAGAAAAGGTTAAACGTTCTACATTTTGGCTGTTTAGAAGGATTTATTATGTCTGTACATATTATTGCCAATGGAAATTCGGTTTACATTAGTTTCATCCAAAATCTTGTGAAAATTATGAATACATTGGGTTGCAGATGAGTTTCTTTCTTGCAAAGAAAAAGTCAAAAAATGTACAGAAGTCCTGGCAGTACTTCATTTCAAAAAGCCTTCCTTCATAAGGTATACAT